GTTTGTTTGAGTTTCCCAGACTTTGATTGGAGAGGTTTCATTTCACTGTTGACTCTTTCTTTTTTTTTGTTGATGTTGTGTTTGTTCATGTTCATGGGAGGGTGTGACCGTGTTGGATCCATCCCTAAAAGCATTATAGAAAAAAAAGCCAGTGTGATGTGATTATGATGGATTCGTTATAACCAGCAATATAATCATTTAGGAAATGCCATTGCCAACCCTGGTCTGGCGGTCTGACTGTTGCCGTTGCCAAACCCTTGTCTTTGTTTTTTTATTGTAAGTTGCCATTGAGCAGGGTTAATGTGACAATTATGACATTTGCCATTGGGTGAGCCCATGACAGTGTATGGCTGGAGTGGATATTTTCTCCCACTCAAATTTGTCAAGCCTTGCTTAAGGCTTGAAAGTCCTAACTCCTGGATAAGCCCATAATAGAGAAATGGGGAACTGTGGTGTAAATACATGATTTTCCTTCAATGAGATGGATGGTTGTGGTGCTGCACAGAAGGATTAATGTATGATGTCATATGTAGGATAGCCGTTGATTGGGCACCCTTCATGATGTGCCCCATATTTATTTGATGCAGAATCTGATCATGGGTTTTAATATTGTAGCACACAATCATCTAGTGCCGGACGTGATAAGTCGATAGCACATGCATCGGATAGGAGGAAATACATGAGACTTGTCTGTTTCCCTTGGGGAACTCTTCTGCAGCCGCGGAGGCCACCAAGAAGCTTGTAATTGCAGTCCAGCTACATCCGACACACTATAGCCCAACTAAACTTTTCAACTGCAAACCTGGCGAGGTGCATCCCCGCTGGAACCCATACAGACACTCGCTGACAGCACAGCTTATTTGGCCATGCAGTGGTGGACCGGCTCACCCGTCGCCTATAAAATATACAAATTCAAGGAGTATTCAAGCAAGTCCTCCGGGGTGAGCTCTGTCTGTAATCATTTGTGTATGGAGGAGTCTCTTCATCCAGACAGACGCTGCTTGGCCATCTCCATCGAGCTATCTTGATCACCATCCCACCTCTAATTAAAAACTCGTTTCCCCCACCAACCAACATCAGTCTGCCGGCCTGAAGCTCTTTTCCTCGATTGGACAATCATGGCCAACCAAACTATATACCGGTCGCCTTGGGGAAACACACTCCCTCAGCTGGAAAAGAGGCTGAACATTTGGGATTTCATACGGTCGACAATGTCAGCCGAAGCCCTGTCAAGTCCTGAACCCCGGTGCATTGATGTCGGAAGTGTAAGCGCTGGTTGTACACTTCACTACTCACCTGTTTCGTTGGCCGTTTTCTTGACACCCATATTCTTGCGCGGCTCGAACAGGGTGAATCATGGAGTTTGTCACAAATCCTCGATCACGCGGAGACCCTGGCAAAATTTTTGGTCTCTTCCTTTGGCGGCCGTCGGTCTACTTGGAACACTGGAGGAGCCAACGTTGACTACGAAGTTATTACTGTCGGTGTACTTGCACCAAACATCCCGGTATGCTTTCTAGCCAGCAAATTTGTTTTACATATAACGTCTGTGATTTTCTTGTTGTTATTGACATTGACCCATGTCTCGGTTTACGTACAGGCAATACCTATAGTGGCTTACAGCTGCATGGCAGCCGGACTACCCGTCACGCCGCTACCCGTTGGATCTTCGTCGTCAGAAATTGCGTATCTCGTCTGTCTTGCTCAATGCGAGATCGTATTCGTACATCCATCTCAACTGGAAACAATCAAGACAAGCGGCTATCCTGCCGAACGCATCATTCTAACAGAGCCCTTTGAAGGATGGGACGGACAAATCTTGCCAGACCATCTGGTGATTGCAAGGTCACTTCCTGAGTTTACTATTGATGGGAAACATCCTAT